GCATGTTTCTTTCACTTTTGCAGCTTAATAATAAAAACTAATAGTTTTGTTTTCCTGTGACTTATTTGCAGTATGATAAATGGTAGGAGCATAATATACTCTCCCAATGTTTTGTTGGTCTTTTTTTTTTGTAAATAATGACATTTTTTGCGGTTATATTTGTTATTTTTTTCATCTTGAGATCCTATGACGTCATCAACTACTCGAGTTCTACTCTAGTTTTATTATGGTAATGTCGAGTTTAAAATTTATGTAGTCGTTCAACCCCTAACCTGTATAAATAAAGTTCAAATAAAATAAAAAGACACAAAAAGCTTTACTCGCAAAGAGAGGAAGTTAAAGCGTGAGAGAGTTTTTAAAGAACACAGCAAATTTTTCTGATCAGTAATAAATCCGTTATCAGAAACATTGAAAGAAAGCAGAATAAAATTGTAGTTTAGCATATATTACTTTAGGTTTAAATAAGCAATATTTTGTAAATAAATAAACTAATCTGCTCTGAATTTGAGAATGTTTGTTCTTTATGAAAGAAATTTCTTTCCATAAGAAGTTCCGTAAACTCAGTTTTTAATTATAGTGATTTCAGGATGTCCAGCAGCTGTGAATATGCTCTTTAGTTTGAATAAGCTGCGTTAAATTGCACCTTTATTTCTTATACTGTGACAGTCACAGCTTATTTGTAATAATTCAAACAGGCATGGTGGAAAAGGTCAGCAACACAAGTCTGAAGAGAAAAAAATGTTTATTTATTTTAAACTTTTATATACAGTTGTATTTGTTAATACATTAATATGTAAATAGCCAACGTTCTGGTTCAAAATTTTCTACATCAGTTATAGTAAAATCATGCCAGTAGAAGGTGAAGGAGATTTGATTTTAACCCAGGTGTCGTCAACATACCTGAACCAATGACTTGGTGGTGTCCCTGAAAAGGACGTCAAGGCTCTCTTTTCTACCTGCTCCATGTACAGGTTGGCAACAATAGGAGAAACTGGAGACCCCATAGCACACCCATGTTTCTGCCTATAATATTGCTCCCCATATGTGAAGTAGGTTGACTGCAGGCACAGTTTCAAGAGTTGACACAGTTGTTCTGTGGAAAGCGTGGTCCTGCTGCTCAGAGTGGTGTCTGATGGAAGGTGGTGGTTCAGCATTGCTGAGGCAGGATGAAACTTTGATT